AGATAGAATAATCTGGCATTTGTACAATGGGACTCGATATGCTATAACCACAGATGCAATATCCATTCACTGGATGGCCACCCTGGCATGTCTAAGCTGATGGGAGGAGGCTTCATGGTATCTGAAGCAGAACATCCAGATTCAGCCATAGTTTCATTCCATACAGCATTAAATTGTGAATTCTTACACTTCCTCCTTCCGTTATATATTCAAGATGGACAGTGTTTAATATTTATTTGTTATGTATATGTAGGTGTGTGGGTCTATACATATGTTGTATATAATATGTTTAGGTGTGTGTCATGTACGTGTTCACTTTGAGAGGGGACAACTAAATTTCATTTTTGATGTGTGACGTTGCGCCCACAGTAAAAAATGACAATAAAGGTTATCTTATCTGATCTGATCAGCAGGGATGGCGTCATATCCAGACGTAAGGATGGCAAAGATGAAAAATAGACCAATGCAAAGCTGTAAAATGGTACAAAAGAGATGGACTTTGTACCACCTTCTTTTTTTAATGTAACAGACTACAACAGAATTGCCTAATGCAATCTGGATAGTCTGATCAAGAAGACAGTCTTGGAAAACTATGAGGGCTTCCAAACTGCAAAGAGTTGGAGGCTATTACTTTGTTGCAATGCTTACTGCCTGTAGTAAGTACAGTAGATGCAGAGGGCTCATTAAGAAAGCTTCCATTCTGAACACAAACGTATCAGTTGTGAGTAAATATGTTAAGAAGGGAGGCACGAAACTAAAATGCCCAATAAAATTGCATGAAATCAATTGCCAGTGGAGGGATTTATTTTAAGTTGAGTAGAATTGAGAGGAAGTGATGTTTTATAACAAGTAGTGAAGCAGAAGTACCACACCTCTAGGTGATAGATCTGAAGGTGGATGGACCAAACGACTGAAGCCACAGCTGCCATATAGCTCAGTAATTAAAGAATATAGGCTTAGTCTCTTCAAAAACATCAAAAAGAGCCAATAAAGACAGGACAGTATAGTTCAGGGGTGCTAAACTGCCAGTCCGCGGGCCGGTTTCATTATACCGGAGCCACGCCGACCCCATTGCCGGCAATGGCAAAAAAGTTCCGATACGTTGTGCAATGTCATGTGACGTCGCGAGTTTGACATGTCTGGTATAGTTCCTCAACAATGGAGCTATTGATAATGGGGTTGGAGATGCTTGTAAAGTACAAAGGAACCTGAGAGAGTTGGAGCTGGAATTAGAGAGGTTCTTTATTCCTTTCTCTCTTTTTTTGCCCTGGCTGAAGTCAAACAGGGAAGGCTCTTTGAAAGCTTTGAATTCTCAATGGGCAATTTCCTCAGTGTTGACAATAGAGCAGACTGCAACAGAATATTCATTGTGGGAGATAGAAAATGTGGTTGATCTCTCAAAGAAATGAGATTCAGACAGCAACCAGAAGTCAAGAATTGAATGTTGACTTCTTCCATATGATTGCTACGGACCTCGTGTTTCATTGTTTTGGGCAATAACACAGATTGGCAAGGTAAGGAGAAAACACTGGAGGGTATGAATAACTATGAGGCATGTCAAAACTGTGGCAAAGATTGTAACAATTTTCAAAATGCTAGGAGAAAGTAGAAAATTGATAAAAAAATTCATACCAATGTACATTTTTTCCCAAGTTTATGTGTACATTTTCATTGCAGAATAGCAAAAATAAAGAATATTTCTACTGGCATTTTATTTTATTTTTTGGCTGCTGGCTAAAGGGCTATGTTTTTTTCAGGAGCAAAGAAGGGCATAGTTGCATAATTAGTACATAAAACTATGTTCCAAAGTCTATTCTACATTTTCTATGTCTTTAGCTGCTGAATGTTTTTAATTGGCAATTTAAGAGTGAGATGTTTATTCCAGTGCTCACCTTTCAATTATTTTGCACCTTTAAATCAGACTTGCAGTTGACTTAACTGGAAAATTGTATTTATTCTCAAATTACATTTATCCATAGTTACTACATCTCTAACATACAAAATTAAGCCTATGCCCATTTGAAACTTAAACTAGAGAAAATAGATATTTAATCAATCAAAAATAAAACTGTTAACAGCACAGAGTAGTAATTCAGATAAATCCCAAAAGTCATATTACAGACAGTCCTCATCTTACGACAGTTTAATGATGGTTCAAAGTTCTGATGCCATCGGAACAGTGATTTATGACTTGTCCTTAATTTACAACTCTTGCATCACTCCATAGTTACCTGATTGGAATTCAGACACTTCACAACTGGCTCACATTGATGACCAATTGTAGCATCCTGTAGTCACATTATTACAATTTGCAACTTTCCCAACCAGTTTTTGATAAGGAACATCAATTGACGAAATTGGCTTCACTTAATGGTCCATGTTTTGTTTAACGGAATAATATGATTCCCTTAATGTCCACAGCAAAAATGGTCATAAAATCAGTCACATAATGACTGACTTAATGACTGTATCACCAAAATATCAGTCCCAAAAGTGGTCATAAGCTGAGGGTCATTCGTACATTACTGTTTCAGAGGTTTGAAAAATATTTTTTGTTCTTATTCTCTTGTGTTTTTTTTTTTTTACTATTGAAAAGAAGTGCAACATTTGTCAAACACATAAAAATTTATTCTTTATAGAACTGAATTGTATTGTACTTCTGTCTAAAAATATTTGAGGGGTTCCTACAAAGATGAGGGGCTTCTACGAAGACAAGGGGATCAAACTATTTTCCAAAGCACCAAAAGGCAAGACAAGAAAAAATGGATGGAAACTAACCAAGGAGAGAAGCAACCTAGAACTAAGGAGAAAATTCCTAATGGTGAGAACAAACAACCAATGGAACAGCTTGCCTTCAGAAGTTGTGGGTGCTCCATCACTAGAAGCTTTCAAGAAGAGGCTGGACAGCCTGAAATGGTATAGGGTCTCCTGCTCAAGCAGTGGGTTGGACTAGAAGACCCCCAAGGTCCCTTCCAACTCTATTATTGTATGTTCTGTGTTCTAAAAAGATTATTTTTAGGTCAGCTGGTCAAACGGATTGAGAGATGTAGTTTTTAAAAAGACAAGGCTTGACTTGGTTGTGGAATACTGTGGGGTTTGCTGTGTCACTCTACATTTTACTGGTCACTGGTTCTGGTAAATATTCACTTATTCTGGTGAATATTTCTGACTAAAGTAAATAGCTATTTTTCCACTTTCAAAACGATTAGTGCTTTTTAGATACTAAAAATACTATTATTTCCAAACAGAATCAAGTCTGTAAACGTAAATGTAACTAATTGCTACCAGTAAAAATACTCAGAATTTGGTGGGAGAAATAAACTAAAATAAGGACTGTAACAGGATTGATGATAAGGCAAATCCAAATGAATGGAAAGAAAAGAAATGTATTAATATGATGATTATTTTTTAGGAATATTGGAAAAATATATACTAAATTGTCAGTTATTAAAATATTAAGAATTGTATTAACGCAATGTTTGCAAAAAAGGATGTTTTTAGGGAAAGAGGAAAGTAAACAAAATTAATATATGAAATACAGACTATAGAAATTAATTGTTAAGGACTGTTTTTACAAATGTAACCCAAACACCACACTGTTTACCAACTATTGAATGACTTATGTTTGTGTAAAAAAACTAATAAAATAATAATAATAATATTTCCTTTGAGGGTTTTGATTTTTGTTTTGTTTTTTTTTAAAAAAAACAGCATACTTAAATATATCAAGTTGCATTTTCACGTTTTTTTAAAATGTATCTACCAGCTGGACATAGTCAAAAAATAGTGGTAAAATAGTAGTAAAAATCGTTGTAAATAAACAGCCAAAGTTTAAGAAAAAATTAATTTGCTCATGCATTTCGCTTCCTGAAGCCAAATTTTAATGCTAATTATTTTGTGGAATTTTTTTTTTCTGAAAGTGAGAATAAATCTGCAAAGATTCCTCACTGATAACTTTCAGATGGCAAGTTAATGACATTTATTTCAGAGGGCATAAACTATAAAATTAAGTTCTCTCCCATTAAGCTTTCATGCTGCTACTATTATTATCTATGCACATGTCTTCATGGTTTTTTATTAATTTTATATGGCTCTTTAGTGCTTTTATATTTCTAGTGGACAGAAGAATATCTGCCAAGGAAATTGGAAAATTTGCTAAAAGCTTTAGTTAAAGAAAAAAAAAATCAGATGTACAGAAATTTATGTATAGAATCTATAGATTCTATACATAAATTCTAAATCTATAGAATCTATAGATTTCTTATATCCAGCTAGGGAATGTTAACTTATAACACGTTTTTTAATTTATGGGAAGATTGTTATGGGGAAAATCTAAGTGGATTCTAAGAATCAACACTGACAATGGCACATGACCAATCAAGCTATACTTTATGATATATTGAGACATGTGTACCTAATCTTTCCACCAATAAGATAGAAGAATCTGTCCAATAACAAGAAAGTGGCCAGGAATAACATCCACATGTATCAGTTTTAGAAATGAGATATTATCTATTGGTGCCATTAATATACACAAGGAATCTGAGCAAAACTAGTGTCTCTTTTCTTAAATGAGTTATCAGCTAGGTTCTGATCTAAAACGGTATCGTTGATCACTTGTAAAACCACATTTTTAAGCCTTCACTAAAGATAAGAGCTGAAAATTACAGGTCAAGACCTAAAGCTTATTCTTCTCTATTTTTCCCTTGGAATCTACAATATTTTCTGGTAGTTACAACATACAAGGCTGATATGTCCAAGCATTTAGCCACAATATCATAAATATAATTTCAGAAGATATTATCCTATCGAACACAGACAACTGCAGGCAACTCTCTGCTGGCCAATTTTGATGTCAAAATTAAAATTCCTACAAAGGAAACTTTTCAAGCACCCAAAATATCAGTACAAATCAATTTAAAATAAATACAGGAAGCAGGAGGAATCATGTTTTGAAACAGCATGGGATACTTAAATGCAGGATCAAGGCAGTGGTTCACCTGGTATGTATCCCAAAGCCTTATAGTACATCGCAGGGGCACTTCTCTCATCAGTAAGTTGTTCATCCAACGGAAAGCAAACTGAAGGTATTTTACTTCATGTTGATCTATGTGTTTATGTACTTGCTCTGAAAGAAAAAAAAAAGAATAGAAATAAACTACTGATGATATTTACATAACCCACACAAAGCAGCGTAATATATATGTTCCCCACATATATATCATATAAATGGTATATCATATACAGTATATACCCCAAATACAGTTCAGAAAATCCTCCATCCCTCTGGTTCTGGAATATAAGCAGGACCTAGGATTTTAAATAAACCCCATGTATATTTATACAGTCAACTCAAGGCAGTTAACACACTTAATACTCCTGCGTCCTGTTTTCCGCATAATAACCCTGTGAGGTAGGCTGGTATGAGAGATAAAAAGTGGTCCAAAATCAGCTGGTTTTCATGCTGAAGGGAGACTTAAACCTCACATTCTCCAGAACATTAATCACTACACCACTCTCAGCCTTTATTTGAATGTCTCCAGTAACAGAGCACACACAACTCCAGGAGGCAAGCAATAGAGGTCTAACCAGGAACTCAGCTACTTTTCTCCTCTGCACTCCCCCTTAACTCACAGATCGCAGCTCTTCCCAGCAACTTCTAGGCAGTTCAAATGCAATGGAGGTCCAACCAGGAGTTCAGCCTCTTTTCTCCTCTGCACTCCCCCTTAACCTACCCACCTTACTTTTAACTTAAATGTTATTTTATGTTAATTAAAGCTTTACTCATGATTAAAACAGGCAGCAACTTCCACTGATTTATATAACAATTATCAGAATATCTTGTGGATAATGAAACCTGCAAACCAAGGCAATTTAAATGTTTCAAACTTCTTTTAAAACAAAACAAAACAGAAAAATATTGAATTTACCATGGGCTTTTTAAATTATTTTTTAACATATTGAAAAATGCACAACTAAATGCAAAGCTTTTAAGTGTCATTTATTTGATAATATATGAACAGACAAAAGAAAATGCTCAGGCTGAAAAGATTCAGTCCTCTTTTTTCGTAAGTAATTGTGAGCAGATGTTATTTCACTGATAAAGGTAATTTGGTTGGCAATAATTCTAAATTTAAATTTTCCATTTCATTGAAAGTAAGCATGCAGATGTAATAAATGACTTGGCAGATGTAATTATTGCCATCTTTCAGACTTAGAATTTTTCCAAAGATACTTATGCAGCAGTTTGCAACAATAAAATTATGCTAAATCTTCAACAAACAATAGCACTTGTATCAAAATGAAGAAACATAAGTGATTTTATTTTAACAGTCTTTTCAGCCCTTTTATATCTTATATAAAACGACTGAAAATATTTGAAGTAGGGCATCCAGTTTTTAAAGAATATGTTTAGAAACCCACAATTTATATCATTGATTTACTGTGTTTGGGTTTAAGAGGTAACATGTTTATATGGGCGCATGATATCTTTTACAAACAATTAAAAATAATGGCTCCATAAATTATCCTTAAACACACTACGTGAAAAAAACAACGTTTAGTTAAAATGGTATCTTAACTTAGTAAGAACATATTCACTAGATCCAATACTTCTGATATAAAGCACTGCCTGGAGTTAGAACTTAAAGCTATAGCAGTTTCAAGCAGTCTTCCCCCAGAATTTCTGTTTGTTGTGCATCTAGTTCAAGTCAACTGCCTCTCCTGGAGCCTCCAAAAGTAAAAGTGAAGCTCTCATGTTGCAACCAACTGATTGTCCAATGGTCCAGGAAGTTAAATGGTAAAGAAATGGACTAACCATATTATTTGAAGTGGGAAAACCAACTTCAAATGCTTCCAGCAACATTACAAAATGTTTCTCTCACAAATCTTATATTGCTTTATTTATTTTATATTCTATTCTAGTGGCCAGGAACATAAATAACTACAAACCCAATGTAGCATAGGGCAATAGCTTTTGCCCTATACTTCTCCACCTGGTGTATAGAAAAGCTTCCTTTATATAAAAAAAAAACTCTAAACTATTCTGAAATAGAAGCATCTATTTTAAATTTGATTACTTGTATTCCTGAAAGAATTAAATAAGTTTCATCATATATCTCATGTAAAATGACCATATGTAACTTTATAAGGTTAGCTAATGCTCAGTTCTGAAAATGCTGCAAAAATGTTTAGGCTAAATTCAACTAGTCTTGTATTTAACAATTTCCTTGGTAGCCACAGATGATCAGAAATTCCGCAGGGAACAGCACAGGAACACGAAATTGATAAAATTTTCCCTTTATCAATCCAACTGGTTTTTATGCCATCCTTATAGAATTATAAATGCTGCACTAAAAGAGTTAGGATGGGTCAATCTAACCATCCCTCAACCTATGAGGCAACACTCATGTATCTATATTCAACATATGTTCTTGGTAGGATGGATTTTTGTTTTAATTAAACAGTAGCTCCTATTAACAAAAAGATCAGAGATACCGGTATACAATTGTGTACAATTGATGGGTTGCAGTAATCAATCAAAATAATAACGGATTAATATATGAAATTACCATATTATTTCAAATTCAAATAATGAACTTTATATTGAATTTCCCTAGCCCATGAAATTAATTTCAATTGATACATTTAATTTTACTGTCTGAACCAACTTCACTAAACTCCATAAATCAGAGAGAAAAATCAAATGGTACAAGCTTTTCCAAAAGGGCTTGCTGTTTTATACTAGGAAATGAACTTGATCATGTTCAGTAAAACTGAGTTAATACACCCTAGAAAAGTAATTAAAATAGTTTGTCTTGTAACACTTTATATACAGTTTAAAACAGCCTTGCTTATAAATATTGTAATGCAACAAATCCACTGAAACTGAAATCTTAATCCATAAAATAAAGAACAACTCTTTCATAAAAAGACAATATATGCCTGTAATTCTAAGAGCTTTACATTTATTATAAGTGGTTCTGCAAGATGTATGATGGGGGGAGGGAACCCTAACAGGCAATAGAGAAATTATGTCTAGATTAATAAAGATTCCATGTGAAACTGTGCTGACAACAGTTTTTGACAGTAAGTTTGTATTAACATTAAGATAATTAAATGTTATTTAATTTTTCAGGATGACGTTTCATCACAATGAGAGCTAGTTTGTGTACTAATATTCTAGTCCTTCCTTAGGTTTGAAATCTAGTTGCATGATTTTCAACCAGTGACAGTCTCTCAGCAACAAGGTTTGTTGTTATGGGGAACATAGGAGACAGGAATATTAGGTTTTGCTCATACAGTATATAAAATACATAAATATATTTTTCATATATAAAATGAAAAAAATATATATAAAAATACAGTAACAATACCAACAATATATCCCGAGTCCTTGAGAAGCATTTCACAGGAGGACAAAAATGCCAAATCTAATCTAAACATCTGGATGACTGTGCGATAAAACTATACTAATAATAATAGTGGGCATCCTTCCATTGGGACAGGACTCATTGGCATGCCAGGTTATTTTTAGATTTTTAATTTATCAATGTGGTCCTTTCCTCTCAACAAGTAATGCAGGCCTACTTTAAAATGATTTTCATTAGTGCAAGTACTCCTTGACTTATGACCATTTGATTAATGATGGTTCAAAGTTACAACAGTCTCGGAAAAAGTGACTTACAAACTTTACCTCAAAGTTAATACTCTCACATCATAATTCAGCTATTTGGAAACCAGCTCACATTTATGATGGCTGCAAATTCTTGTGGTCCCATGATCATGTTTTGTGATCTTCCCAGCTAGCTTCTGACAAGTAATTGGGGAAGCCAGGTTCACTTAACAACCATGTGATTTGTTTACTGACCATGGTGATTTGCTTAACAATAATAAAAATGGTTGCAAAATTGGGCCTCATCATATGAGAACTTACTTGATGACCACATCACTTAGTGACCAGAATTCTGGTTCCAATTGTGGTCATAAGTTAAGGACTACCTGTATTCAGTTTTCTTTAAAGTTTTTAATAACCAGTCAGCAGATTATGATAACATTTTACTTTGCTATCCTATTTACACCCTAGTTTTCAGGCATTAATCCTTGCTCTATCTAGTTATATAGCTATCTGAATATTTCATCTAGCATTTTATAGAGCAAAAGATCCTTTTCTTTCTTGTTTGGTAATATTTGGTTTAATTCAGATGTTACAAGGAGTTTGAACTCCAGTCACAGCTCTGACCTAGGATCCAATAACTAGCAGGAGAACCAGGAAGCATCCAGGCCTTGTTTGGCTTGTGGCTAAGAGCATAACAAGGTACTATAAAGTCAGAAAATTCTATCATCGAATTCAATTTTATCTATAGTGACCAACAGTCACCCTTCATGGTTTTAGGCATGCTCTTCCTTGTTACACTTGGAAATATCAAAGATTAAGCTATTTGAATAAAAACATGTGCCCTATCTCAAGCCATGGTTTTTCTGTGCAAGAGAAGAAGGAAAGAAGGTGGTTCTCTGTTCATCTGAATAGTAATCACACTTTTCTTTTTCAAAAAAAAAACCCTGAGAAAATCATTTACTAGAACAGGGTTGTTAAACTGCTGGCCTGTGGGCCGGACGCGCCACGAGGAAACCATGCTCACCCCATTACCAGCAATGGGGGAAAGCTTCTGATACATCGCGCGATGTCACGTGACATCTGTCTGTATTAGAAGATTGCTTATGTACAACTTCCATCTGACCCTATTAAAAACTAGTTATAATGCATAACTTCACATAATGATAAGCATTGATAAAATGTATGTTAAAATTTAAGCACATCATACAGCATCAAGCATCACTATTTAACAAATCCCATCGCAAACAGGAAAAAAATGCCAAGGCAGAATTGGTAGAATTAAGCTTATACTGCACATTAAACCATATAAGTGATTGTCTCAAGAAGCTTGTCCAGCTTAGCCTATTTGAAAAATAGCATTTCTTTGGCACACACCAATAACTGACAGGCAGTGTCACAATATATGCTTAGTTCTGCTTGGCATCTTTTTGCTCATTAATTTAGCAAACTACCAAGAGAATATGTTCAGAACCGGTAAGCATTATCTCCTGAATTTTGTTTAATTAAACCGTGCTTTAGCAATATGACAGTCAGCATTTCATGATGGGGATTGTTTTAAGAATGAAGGCAGAAAATATTTCAAAATAACCCTGCTAAACATGTAAAAGCATTAAATCTACCATTCCATCCCATGTAATTTATTTCTAGTATTAAATATGTTATTTACAAAGCTGGTAATTAATTGGCTTCCACTGAAAATATTAACAGGTTCCTTGTAACTAAGCAATACACAAATACATAACATCAAAGAACAGCTATATTTAAACAATCCTGTCAAACTCTTATAATTATTGAGTTTAATGCACAGTGAATGCTAGCTCCCTTTGGTAAGCAGACATTAGTCTGCAGCAAAGTGATTGACATTAAATGTCGATTACATTACTTAATAAAATGTAAAGATAATGGCTCAACATCTAGTAGCTTTTCTTTAGGTGACAGATTGCAGTAATTTTGCAAAGGCCACTGTGCCCCACAGCGGTTGAAGGTAACACCTTACTTATGAAAAGCTGCATTACAGTAGGGGGCAAAACATTGCAGGGTAACCAACCCCACTGCAGTTAAACTCAGCCTTTTGCATTATATGGATGGAAATCAATGGACCCAATTCCTGTCTCCCAATCTACAACTGTATTCTCTGCTCCTTTTAGAGAAACTTTCTCCTTGGAAGAGTTAAAAGTGATCAGATATTTTTTTTCAAACCAGATGCTAGTTAAAAGTTTCATCTTGGTACTACATTATAAGAAACAAAAGCCTCTCTCAATAACTGGTCAATATCATTAACACTTTATGGAGGAAAACTTACGTCTGCTCAATTTCAAACCATGCCCACCACAAACCACAAACAAAGGTTTTGTAGACATTCAGTAGCGGATCCCTCTGCTTTTGCAGTGTTAGCCAAGTGGATGGCACCAACCATTACATCCTCTAGAACCCTATCTATGATTAAATAAGAGGGCAAATACTAATGATAAACAAGCTTAAGGGATCAGATGCCAAATGACAAGAACTGCCTCCTTGCAGATGAAATTCAAACTGTTAGTAGTCAGGTTGCTCCCTTTGCCATGCTCTCTTTAAAATTCAGAAATAATTCTTTAAGCTCTTAATTTTACTATTGGTTCCAGTTTAACCCAACTCCTATATATGCATTTTCTTTGATATGTTTTCCAGTCTTCTTTCTTAATTATTTTTTTCTTTTTTTATCCTGTATAAGGATGTCACAACCTGTGGTCACCACAATAGATTAATTGATTAGTATGGTACTGCTGAAGCTTTTAATTGAACACTCTCCAAAGGACACAATTCAAGTTCCCCTTAGTTTTTAAGGCTTACCATCAATCCGACTAACAAGCTCTTCCAGCATTTTCACTTTCTTCTGAATACCAGGTTGAGCAAAGGTATAGTTATCCTAGGAGACAAAAACATTTTAAAAATTACCTGTTGACCAACAGATACAAAAAAGATGCTTCAAAAAAGTTCACCTATTTAAATGAATAATGCATTTCTTGATCTCACCAGCTGTCAGTTTGTCTCACCATTGATAAACGACCAACAACACAATAATAAAGTTACCAAGGAAATATTTGTATTAATTATAATTACTTGGCTCTGTTCAATCTGTCATTGAACAATGGGACATTCTAGCCTGTTTAAATAAGATACCTTTTCTCTAACTGATGCATCACCAACAACAGAAAAATAAAAGCTAGGAGTTATACCACCTGAGAGGAAACAAATACGTCAGAGAGCAGAATTAGGGAGAGTGTAGACTCATTGGTGTGTTATGTTCAATATTAAGGTGTCAATCATTATTTCAGTAAAAAAAAAAGGACTGACATGACATCAATACTGCAAACATGAGAAATTGTCAAGATAACTTTCTTTATAGTAAAGCCAACAATATATTCCCAAATCTTGGAAATAGTTATCTATTCCATACCACAGTTCCTGTTAAAAAGGAAATGCATTATAAATGCTCCATTATTCTGTATTCTGTCAACTTCTTTGACAAAGCATCTGAGAATTCTAGAAATGACAAGCTAAAATATCTAAAAAAAAATCATTCCAGTTGAAACAGTAGTATATTTCTTTATTCTCATTTGAGGAATAATACCTATAAAGAAAATTCTAGGCGGTGAGGTAATTGTATTTCTGTGCTGTCAAAAAGAGCTACATGATGCAAATTTTCCTTTCAATACTTTAAAACAGAAGAATGCACAAGCCATATTAAAGCTTTCAATCCACTAACCATTTTTCAAACCTAAGACCCATCTTACTGGAAACTACGTGACATGCTTTATGTATCATTCTCTTGACAAATAGATATGTTTTATGATGATTAAGAAACAACAGAAAGGAATTGTAAAAACAATGCAAAGAACATTTTCCCAAACAGCAGTAGTCACAACAGAGAAAAGTGCATCTGTCAATAAAAAAATTATTTTGACAGGAAGAAAGAGAAAGAGAAATCAGGAGATCACTGGATCATACAATATGTTCACCAACTAATTTCTTATTAAAATTAAAGGGTTGCTTTTTTCCCAGCTTGCCTTATTCTATGCACTTCTATCCACCTACGTGAAAGTTATTGTTTCAGCCCATGTATATTCATGGCTGTGATAGAGGATGCTTAAAAACTAGGCCATTCAAAAACTGCTTTCATGATATAAGCCTACTGAAAGTCAGGCATCACAATGCATACTACATGATGCCAGCTACTAGATGGAATGATTTAAAATACCATTCTCATACTTGCAGCTATGCCAAAAAGAAATCTGACTGTTCAGATTTGAAGCATAAATATAAACGCTTAACTCTACTGATCTCTTATGATGTCAATTCATTGGGTTAGGTATGAATTTATAGAGAATGACCACTGGCCTCATCTTTGATTGAAATACAGTATATTCACTGCAGTTACACTTCACACACTGAGAAAAGGTTCAGAGCAACCTTGAGTCCTTTAATTTAAATCCTCTGTATCTGTGCTATAGCTATCATTTAATTAATCCTGTTTCTATTCATATTACTTGTATTAATTTATCATTTTGTAATTATTTGCATTTTAACTACTATTCAGAATTGCAATTTGATTTAGGCTTTTTTTTAAAGGGGGGGGCTTCTTTTTAAAAAAAAAATACTGAGAGGAGCATCCTTGTTTGGAAAGATAGCATATACGTTCTACTATCTAAACATGCCTACTAACATGTTTAACAGTCATAGAAAGGAACACTGAACTGGGGAGGGGGAATATCTTTTTAATGCACCTTAGAAATGATAATGGCCCAGTTCATGATAAATTATCTTTATCAGCAAGAATCAGGCAGGTAGCCTTTTACCAATACATGCAGGAACACCAACTGCTGCATCCTGTTTATCAAATGTCCTGCTTTTCAATATCTCTAAAGTACTACCCAAATGCAAATGAAATATGTCCACTGGTTAGAAAACAGAAATCAATTCACCTGAATGCCATCAAGCAGTTTGCTCATGCACCAGAAGCTGTCAGCTTCAATATTCTGCAGTACCTCAGTGGAAAGACTGGAAACATCAAAATTTTCCAAATCTTCTTCTGAAATAAAGAGAAGGCGAGAATGTCAATTAAATGTGGGAGACAAACACAAGATTTAACATACAATATGTAATCTTAATTAAGTTTAACTATGATGGTTAAATTGAATGTCTTTGCCAAAGACTAAGCATTTTAAGTTATGCAATTTGACTAAGGCACTACACCAAAGTCTCCAATTACAATGTCTCAAAGCAATGTCTCTCATTTTATCCAGTTTCCTGTGGCAGTTCTCATCACACTCGCTGTATAAATGTAAAAAGATACCAAAAGGGTTGCCTAAAGAAAAATGACCCTGACATAAAAAAGTGACAGGCTGATGCCAAGCACTTCTCTTAGCTCTTGTTTATTCTTGCACAGCATGTGACTCAATTCTTGTGAAAAACCTCTGTGGAGCAAACAGTAATTCACCAAAGAAGGAAAGATGTCTGGTCCATAGGCAGCAGCAACACAATGCAATGAAAGTGGAATTACTGTTTTTAAGGTGCCATATGCAAATGATAAAAGATGGTTAAGCGTTAAGTCCAGCAATGGTATTTTGGTTTACTTTTAAAACCCCTGAAATAATGCAGCATTTCTTGGTTTACCATCAAAAAGAGAAAATGCTTTTCTCCTAATTTTTCAGATATAAATGTTTTCCAAAATCCTTCTGTATTCAGTGAAGCTTTTAACACATAACACAAGTTAACCTTCTCTTTATATTGTTTCAGATTTCTCCACAGACTCTATGACTCAGTGACCCTTTAAAACTGTTTTCAGATGAGTAGCAAAATAAGTATTTGCTGCAAAACAAAAATGTTTAGACCTCAAGGGCATCTTTTCCAAAAAAATTACTTGACTTTTTCTATCACTGAGCATAAGGTTCCTTACTGGTTTACAATAAATATTTATGTTTGTAACATAATAATGGGTTACCCTTTATAATGTATTTTCCTGTTGAACGAGGTTAGCTTTGAAAATTGCCAGTTACCAGATAGGAGTTAAACACTAGAAATTTCTTATACTGCACATACATATCAGTACACTCACATGGAACAATATAGGAAACAGAATAAATACAAATATACATTTGAAGAGAACAAGAATGTTTTAATTCTGAAATTTCCATGCTGGGACCCATTTCACAAAGCATGTGCATCTTCAGAGTCCTCTTGACCCTCCTTTCACCAAAACTATTACCAAATTCTTAAGGTTTCAAATTTTAAACATCCTCAGATAGTTAAATACAACTCTGAATCAATTCCCCTCAGATGAAGAACCTGATACAAAACATTTTCAATAATTCACAACCAATATTACAAAAAGTAAAAAAATGATTTATTTTATTTAGAGATGCCAGAGCCACCGAAAAATATTAAGAAGTGGAAATGTATGAAACAATGCTATTTAAGAGGAATTTTATTTCTGGTTGTGATTTACTAGATGCCCTTGACCATCTTTTGGCAAGAGGTACTTCCACAAAGTTGGGAACATTAAGCATATTGATGCCTTGCTAATAGAAACATTTCTGGATGAATGAAAGTGAATTTAGAGAGTTCATTTATCACAAATAGGGAATCATAATTTGTATTTTAATTTTTCAGAATAAAATTCATAGCATGCAACAGTGTTCTTCATTAGCATAACCTAATTACACCACAATTCATTATTCCACAAGTAACTGTTAATACTGCTACTAGGATTATAAACATGTATACAAAATTTGGAGGTACGGTGGGAAAAAGAAATCAGTCAAGAATTACATTTTATACCACCTTCAACTGTTAAAATATTGCAATCCATGTGTACTGACTGCTCTACAATAATTAATAAAACTGAAGGTTTAATTAAAATACTGCAAAACTAAGATTTTGTGATTGTTGTGGTTGAAATAACTCTTACTGGTTATTTCTCAAAATGGTTTGGCTTTATTCCAATGAAACAGTTAGTTATTACCCAGGCTGACAATATATATTGAAGCACTCTGTTGTACAAGTTGTGTTCATACTACTGTTACAATCAAATTCTTTTACAGTATTTTAAATACAGTTTACCATAATGCACTTTCACTTATTGTTTGCTAAACATTAGCTTTAACAATCCCAGAAAAATTGTCATAGAAGCCACAAATGTACATTAGGCAGGAAGAAGGGAAAAAAAACATTATGTATCTGCTAGCTACAATGGCTGAGCTGACAGGTAACAACACCAACCCAACATTTTAAACCACAGCTTGTTGAACCACAGTAATCCAATTATTAAAACACAATGGGTGATTTCTAAACAATGCTACCAAATCAAATTTTCAACTTTCTCCACAAAGGCGCTCCTGTGCAATTACTTCAAAGACAGCAACTTCATTCATGCTCTGTGCATATAAAGCATCTCATCTGAATGCTTTGCATTGCTCCGTAAGAAAATTACACTAACCTGTTCTTACTGTGTAGGTGGCATCCTCATTAGTTCAACTTTATATACTGTAAGTACTTCCAAACACTTTAATATACAAGTATACTCATTTTCTTTTGAGCCACAGCATAAGAGATTTGTGATACTAAACTGGAAAGATGGCTGTGAGTAGAATGGATGCAAAAATTAGATTTTAAATCTTAAAATATGATTGAGACTAATATAACAAAAGATTCCTCTTAGAATAAAGCATAAAAATATAATTTGAGGGACCCAGGCTACAAACCTGTATCTTGTTTTTGTATCTGGTATTCAGAGGGACTTACTTCCAAAAGATACATACAGGATTGCCTGAAAATGTATTTTAATCATATATCTTATAACAGTAAGAATGCAATGTATGTTATGCATCAAACTACATATGCTATCTTGCATATTTTACAAAATTGGATGACATTGTTATTATATGTATCTTATCAGAAACTTACCCTTATGAATATTTTTCTGTTGTTTGATGTATGACTGTGCTTAAGGTTTTGTTAGGACAAAAGAAAAAGAACATTCTAGTAAGTAAATAATTCCTATTTGCCACAGATGTAGGAAATAATCTAGATAGCTGAAGTAGCATTTTAGAGAGAATACTGTATATTCAATTCCATTTAAAAAACAGAATTAAAATATAACTATGGGGGACTGTTCATTTTTGAGCTGTTAATCAAAATTCATATATCAACATCTAGGAGGCTCTTTATTTCACTGTTTTAAAGCTGCAAGTTTCTCCCCCCCCCCAATCTTTTTAAAACATTCAGCAACTCTTTCACATCTCTATTATTGGATTAGAATTTGATATTATTATCAATGCTAAAATAATGCCAGTCTCACTTGATGGCATATGAAATCTAAAATTCAATCAAAATATGTATTGAAAAACTAGTTATTTTAAAGCTATTTTAAAATTCCATTCATATAAATCAAATAAATCCAATCACCCAAATTTTCTTTCTAAAATAGAAGTAATTCCAGCCCTTGGGACCTATTTTAAATTTAAAAAGCATTTAATGATATTTATTTTAAATGTAAGCACCACAGTTAACATAAAAGCATGGAAAGACTCTTTAAAAACCATATTTTTTAAAATTGCATTCTAGTTTATTGAAGGCTGAAATAGTGTGTGGAAGTATTTGCAGTTGAGAAAAAAACAGTATGATCCTATTTCTTACATGATTTAGGCCTGTTGGCCTGTTGGCCTTGCTGTCGCTTAATTTTTAGCTTCAATTAATTTTTTATTTTATTTATTTATTTTATTTTTTTAAATTTATTTATTTATTTTTATTATTATTATATTTTGTCCTATTATTATATGTGTGTATCGGGGGTGGAGCGCTGGCTGTGCGCTCCTATTCCGCCTCTATCAGTACTTCCAGTTATGATGTGGAGCTTCCTTAAGCTCGGTTTGCCTTCCTCTGGCAAGAGATGGCGGCCGCGGCTCGTTTCTCCCTGAAAACGGGCTTTGCGGATCCCAGGAGGGTTCTCTAGCCCCCGTTTCTTAGTTGGGGCTTACTCCCTTACTGTGCTTTGGCTTTTTAAAAAGGAGGGTGGCCGCGGCTCGTTTCCCTCTGAAAATAAGCTCCGCGGCCTCCCAGAAGCTGCTTGTGCCCGGGGATTTAAATTTGGCGCGCTGGTGACGTTTTAAGGGAATCCCAGTCAGGGATTGCCTTTGTTGCCTGAAAGTGGCAACTAAAATGGCGCCCGCGGTTGCCCTGGGCTGCTAGGGAATCTCCGATGATCCGAATTCAAGTTTGAATCCGGACCTGGAGATTGTTATTTTTTCCCCCAATTTGAGGAAAAAATCCCTTGGAAGGTTGGGGAGAAAAGCTCAGCAAGTGGTCTCTGCTGATGCCTTTTTCCCCCCTTTTCCACCTCCAAAGCCCTGGGGCTGGCTGGGATCCGTGGGGAGTTCCCCCCCCCACACCCCCTTTTCCAATTTTAATATTGGATCAGGGATGATCCCAAGGAAAACTTAGTGGTTGGGGAAAAGGTTCAGCAAGTAGTCTCTGCTGATGCCTTCTTCCCCCCCTTTCCACCCCCCAGAGCCCTGGGGCTGGCTGATATCTGTGGGGAAGTTTCCCTCCCCACCAATCCCCTTTTTAATTTTAGGTTTGAGATCAGGACTGATCCCCAGAAAATTTTGTGGTTAAATTCCTATAGGTGGCAATTTTTTTGGACGGGGAAGCCAATTATCAAGGGATAATCAATCAATGGATTTCTTTGTCTAACCTGATAAGCTGAGAGCCACGCCAAAACGAGTCTTCTTGAGCAGAGACCAAGTTAAGAATGGACTCCACAGGAAGTGGGGGCGTGTCAAGTTTTGGCTACTTGGTCTCAAGAGCAGGCAGACAGAGAAAACCCATCCGTGGATTATCCATCTCCTGTACTGGAGAATATGAATTACCTATCACCATGTTATTTGCTTTTGAGATAAGCAACATTGTACAAGGTGGCGCAGCAGTTAGAGTGCAGTACTGCAGGCCACTTTAGCTGACTGTGTTCAGCAGGTCAGCGGTTCAAATCTCACCGGCTCAAGGTTGACTCAGCCTTCCATCCTTCCGGGTAGG